TTAAAAGGTATTACACAAGCTTTGGGAGAAGTTAACGGGCAAAAAACTTGATGTTCTTGAAGTTACACAATCGGAAGAAGGGCAAAGACAAAAATTAAATATTGTTCTGAATGCTGTAAATCATGTAAGTGCAACGACAGACATGCAATACATTTATTCGCGTCACATTGTAGTAAGAATATATCGCTTATTTGCTGCAAGACTAGAATAATTCAAAAATTTATATGAATATCCCATATACACTCTGATTGAGACGTTCTGTATATATACAGTGGTGGTCACGTACAGTTAACCTATCATTCAGAAATTTACCCTATTTATAGAAAATAAAGGTCCGAATGCACCAGAAATTAGTAAAACAATAAATCTCAAAATAAATAAATATTTGAAATAAAAACTCAAAAAATGGGAATTAACCTAAAGGAACGATTCGACTTCGGTAGCCTTTATTGAAGAAGGCCGGAATATATTTGCCGTATGCTAGAAAATATCGATTGATATTGGCATTTATTATATCAAATAGATTGTTCGAGTAGTACAGCATATAGTAGAAAACAATATCTTGGAACGTGGTCTTCCTAATTGGAGGATTTGAGCACAAGACCGACGCGCTTGGAAATCTTTTTTAAGCTCGGCTTATGGAACAACCGTTCTGTAACATGCCAGCTAAGTAAGTAGTAAGTAATCAATTGATATTTTCTCACATACTGCAATAATTTTTGGAGTAGTTCATGTAAAGAAGTTTTTGGAATCGCTCATGGCCCTTTGGGCTAGGTTCTCGTTTATGAAATAAATTGAATTGAATAATATTCCTGCCTTCTTCAATAAAGACTATAGAAATTTAACTGTTCCTTTAGGTTAATTCCCATTTTTTGAGTTTTTATTTTAAATAATAAGGGTAATTTTCTGAGGGCTGATCAAAAAATGTTTACCACAATAAATGTTTTAATTTTTAATTTTGGAGGGCTGATCAAATAACAAAAATTGTTTTAATTACGTGACCACCACTGTATATATATATATATATATATATAATTGTGTATTATTTTTTTTATTACTATACAAACTTGAGTTTATTAGCATGTACTCTTATTCTTAATCCACAATATACTCTCTTGTTGCACAGACTTTGGGATTTCACCAAAAAATACCAAAATGGTCAGTTGAAAGCGTGCACTCAAAAAATATCGTTGCCATTTTGCATTTGCTGGTTGCTTTAGTAAGGCATTTTAGAGCACCTGTACGTCTTCCAGAAAATGTATTCGTGACGGTAGTGATTGCTCAAAAGAATGGAGGAGTTTTGAATGCTCAGTAAGTTTGCCTGCTTTACTTATTTATGTATATAATAACATTTATCGTTATAGAAAATTCCAAGAGCAAATTACATCTGAATATGACGATGTCGGTATGCGTTGTGAAAAAGATGCTTTCGATACTTTGTTTGACTGTGCCCCTGATAAATTAGCGGTGGTTAAAAAGTCCCTCATTACTTTCGTGAATAAACATTTGTCCAAATTGAATTTCGAAATCAACGACCTCAATAGCGATTTTCGCGATGGTGTGTATTTGTGTCTTCTAATGGGTTTACTAGGAGGATTTTTTGTACCGTTGCACGAATTTCACCTAACTCCTCAAGACACGGATCAAATGGTGGCAAATGTTGCATTTTCATTTGATCTTATGCAAGATGCAGGATTGCCCAAACCAAAAGCCCGGCCAGAAGGTAATCTGTTACTGCATGAACAGCTCATATTTACAGCTAAACAAATAATTACAAAACACTATTATTATTTTTTACAGATATCGTAAATATGGATCTAAAGTCAACTTTGCGTGTTTTATACAGCTTATTTACAACGTTTAGAAGCTATGCATAGACCGAAATATACAATGTTGTTATTTTTATGACCCAAATTCAATGCATTGGATGTTTAAAACATACAATGAATCTTAACACATTACTAATTAAGTTAATTGTTAGCGTGAATGTATTCTTTTTATAATTACTATTTAATACATATTAACAATAAACACGATTAAAATTACATTCAACCAATTTATTTAGGACTTCTGAAGAAATTTGCAGAGAAAGTGTACAATGGGAATATATGTCCAGATTTACATTGTAATATATTAACATGTACAGCCTTATTCTGGATGTCAATTCCACGTGAATTTACTCGCTCTTCCCCTTCGACTTATTCTGAACAACATTTTCCTGTGAATTTTTTCGCATTCTCGCTTTCGCCTTATTCTGAATGAAGTTCGAAAGCGAAAAAATCCGCTTTGGGGAAAAATTAGGTATTCTGGATTACAGGGAGTAGGAGAATGAGATGACATTTTGTGCGAAATTTTTGCTAATAAATTCAAAGGGAGCTGACTACAAAAACATAAGTAATAAATATTTTTATGAAAAATATTTACACAATACTTATTCTATAACAATTTAGAATATTCAGCCTTATTCTGGATATTCGCTTGGGAGATATCTCGCATGTAAACAAATTTCGCTTTCACATTCTCGCCTTATTCTGAATGAATATGGAGACGCAAAAAATGCGAGATGCGGATCCAATTTTTCGAAAATGGTGGTTGAAAAAAAGATTCGTGTTGCCATATTGTAATTTAAGTTGCATTGTGTGTTACTCCATTGTAATTTAATTGTGTAATATTTTTCAATATTTTATTTATTAATTTTTTTATTAAAAATGTTTTTATTGTTATTTAAACTTTATAAGAATACAAATGTAAAATATCAATAATCCGCTGTATAAATGCTTTGTAATTGAAAGAAAATAAATTAAAGTTTGAAAATATGGCTACCTACAATATGGGATGTGAAACAGCTTTTCATTGTTTTGATGCAATTTGGTGCAACAACTACAATAGATTAGAAAGAACATTTTTATGATGGCAAAAACACAACGAATAATAGGAAGAAATCTGCGATTGAATTATTTAATTCACAGTTTATTATTACACTACAATTTATGTGGCTTTATTTTTGTTCTTTCATAATTTTTATTCAAGTTTTTCACTGTTAAGCGTCAAATTTGGTTTTTCCATAATTTTAAAATTTTTTTCTTGAGAGGCAGATCCTCACCCAAAATGTCTGTATTTCGCCTTCAAAATGCATCAAACACAATTTAAATATTCCTTATTACCTTTATACATTCCTTGGCAATATTTGGTTTAGCATGCATTAGGATTTCCAATGGCATTTTATTTGTTGTTTTCTAGTTAAAAATAATAAGGAATATTTAAGTCGAGTTTGGTGCATTTTGAAGGCGAAAAACAGACATTTTGGGTGAGGATCTGTCTCAAGAAAAAAATTTTAAAAATTATGGAAAAACCAAATTTGCCTGACGAGCCGCTTAACAGGGAAAAACTTAAATGAAAATTATGAAAGAACAAAAATAAAGATACAAAAAATAATTTTTTTTCAGAATTATCGTGTACATGATTTGAAGGAAGAAATAAAGGAGTAGGAGCAAATCATAACTGGCCACTTTAAGAATTTTAGGAGACGAAATATCGAAATTAAATAAAAAACACACACAATTATGTAGTGAAATAATAAACTGTGAAATTATTAATTCAATCGCAGATTTCTTCCTTTTATTCGTTGTGTTTTTGCCATCATAAATGTTCTTTTATTTGTAATCTATTGTTAGTTGTTGCACCAAATTGCATCAAAACAATGAACAGCTGTTTCATATGCCATATTGTAGGTTGCCATATTTTCAAACTTTAATTTATTTTCTTTCAATTACAAAGCATTTATACAGCGGATTATTGATATTTCACATTTTTGTTGTTATAATGTTTAAATAACAATAAAAAGTAAACATTTTTAATAAAAAAATCAATAAATAAAATATTGAAAAATTTTACACAATTGAATTACAATGGGGCAACACACATTACAACTTAAATTACAATATGGCAATGCGAATCTTTTTTTCAACTACCATTTTCGAAAACTCGAATCCGCATCTCGCATTTTTTGCGTCTCCCTATTCCAGGTATGCAAAAGTTGGTTCAATTGTACTAATTTTAGCTCTATTTGGAAGTCAAAAATACAATAGCACCCCAATGACATATTTGGCACTATTTTGTTTTTTCAAATTTTCAATTGTATCAAATTATTCTCACTTAAAAGTATTATAAGTGCTTAAACATACAATATGAAATGAATCGCCATCCCCCGCTGTCGTTACGAATGGGTGAATTTGCCATAGCTTAAACTTAGTGTCCTATGCCGCCTCAAAATTCAGATATAGATAAAGATATTAATTAATATTTATGTAACAGTTCTCTGAGAGAGATGATTTTTCAAAGTTTCAGGAATATTTCGCTACAGATATTCATGTTGTTTTTAAATACTCAATAACTCGACGGCTTTCACTGGGCATTGGGATTCTCTTCAATATTATTTCACTCAATAATTTCGAAGCTGATTCTTAAAAGTTAAGGCTCAATTCTATTATTTCAGCATTTTCAAAAATTTTTTTTAAAAAATGCTATTATTGTTCTTACAATATGTACTAAGAATTATAAATAATATCAATTTAGAAATGCAGTCTAAGGATGCCAGAATGCATGTAGCAGTTATTAAGTCTTTCAAAACCAATATATCTACAATATATTCACTTTTTGGTCAAAGGTGGCTGAAGTCAAAAATGAACTAAACGAAGATTTATCTACTTATATATCATAATTTTTTTTTTCGTCTGCGGTTGTGGAAAGATTTTTTTCATATCAAAATATAATTAAATCCAAAGAAAGGGAATGATTACATGTTTCGATTGTTTCAAATCTTATCCTAACGAAGGATTTGCTGCTAACGATACATAAGAATATGTTGCAAAAAGTTCTACTTAATTGATCATTTTATATATAAGTCTTATAAGTACGAAGAACAAATGAATTTGTATGTACCTTTTTTGTTAAGTTCCAAGTGTTCAACTTATCTATGTATGTTTCTATTATTTTTTAATAACAATACAAATTTTATTAAAATATATTATATACAATATTTTTCGGTTAATTGACCCTACGGTTAATTGGTTTCCACGCTTAATTGAACCACATGATGGGGCAAAAAATATTTCATAGGAAAATACATACTGTTACGTTCTTGGATTTTAGTTAATCCCGTGTAGTCGTTGTTTTATTTCCCGATACAATTTGTACCAAATAAAACGCGGGTTCTTTCTGATTACGATTATTACAATGATTTTATTCACACAACTTTACTTTGCACTTTACTTTACTCGACGGTTTCAATTCGCGATCTGATTCACAACTGACTCACTGCCTTTCCATTCCCTCTATTTATATGAGCCCTGCCTGTCGCTACAGAAGTTTCTAGACGATCTGGTAACACCTAGATCACGAACAATCTACCAATGCAACAAACACATTGAGTAACAATAACAACAACAAACTTACTGAGTGAACAACAACAAACTTGAGTAAACAAACTTACAATAACAACAACACATATACAGGCGAGGGAATAGCAAAGAAAGAGGAATAACAACAACACATATACAGGCGAGGGAATAACAAAGAAAGAGGAATAACAACAACACATATACAGGCGAGGGAATAACAAAGAAAGAGGAATGACGTTTAACAAGAATTGTACGACAATAACAAAATAGAAAATGAAAGAGGAAATGGAAGGATGTAGAAAAATCTATACAGTGGTTGTTGTTGTGAAGTTATTCAAATAAACTGCGTAGTAGAAATTTACGTTACAATTCAAATTCTTAAATTAACGGAATTCATCTAAATTAACTTAAATCTAAAGTTATATTCGTAACATTGCCCCCCGCTTAAGCCTGTTCGTCCCGAATAGGCACAGTTCCCGTTCCGTAGGGGGTCAGCCGCTCCAAATGTACAACTTTCATCTTCGACCTGGGACTGTCGCTCCTCTGGATGCGATAAACGACGTCATTTATTTTCGTGACAATCTTGTAGGGTCCTTCCCAGTGCGTTTGCAATTTGGGGCATAGTCCTTTCTTTCGTTGTGGGTTGAACAATAGTACCAGTTGCCCTTCTTGAAACCCATCGGTATTTGCCGCTCGATCGTACCTTGCCTTCATGCGGTTGCTAACCATTTTTATTCGATATCGGACTGCATCGTGGACTTTACTAAAAGAGTTTTGGCTGTCTTCATCTTGGTTCACATCGTCGTTTGGGGTAGCGCCGAATATCAAATCGCCAGGTAGCTTTAATTCATTTCCGAACAGAACTTTGGCTGGGGTCCGGGATGTGGAATCATGAATGGCCGATCTATAAGCCAATAAAAACTTTGGAATATGCTCATCCCAGTCTCGTTGGCCACTGTCCACCACTTTCCGTAGATGTTCTTCAAGGGTGCGATTGAATCTTTCCACCATGCCATCTGATTGTGGATGTAGGGGCGTCGTTCTGGTTTTCTTAATTCCGTAGGAGTCACACATTTCCTTGAAGATCGCTGATTCAAAATTCCTACCTTGATCGGAATGAACCTCAGATGGAACACCATAGCGACAAATCCAATTTTTGCTGAACACATCCACAATTGTCCTGGCTTCTTGATTTGGGATAGCATAAACCTCCGGCCATTTACTGAAGTAATCTATGACCACTAAGACATACCGGTTCCCAGAGTCGCTTGTGGGGAACGGTCCAGCTACATCCATTGCGATTCTTTCAAAAGGGGCTCCTGAATTATACTGCTGCATGTAGCCTCGACTCTTCCGTGTTGGACCTTTAGCTTTTATGCACCTTTCACAATTGGCGATCCAGTCGGCAATGGATTTTTGACAGCCGACCCAGTAGAATCTCTGCTTTACCTTTTCAGCGGTCTTTGCTATGCCAAGATGTCCTCCACTTGGCCCAT